CGAGACGTCCACCCGTGCTCGACCTAGCACGCGAAGCTCGTGGCCGTTGAAGTCTACGAGCCGTCCCGTTGGTTTCTCCAGGGCAGTGTGGGACAGCTCCGGCAGCAGTCCTTTGAGCTTGTCCCACGACATGATGGAACAGATGGATCCCGTATCCACCTCCATCTTACATGGTCGCCTCCCGATCATGACTGTTGCGTAAAACTTTTCCGCGCCAGTCGAGTTGGTGTGGCTGACAACCATGTGGTGCACCTTGCGCTCGTCCTGGTCGTTGTAGCCCCTTCTCTGGTCGCGCCTCCCTTCGGGTTGGGCTGACCCCTTCCATCTGTTCTCACGCGGTCTATGGGGCGGCGAGTGGCGTGGCGGTGAGCGGCGCGGTGGGGATCGTCGTGGTGGAGACGTGTGCCTCCGTGGGGGCGATCACTGTTTCCTGGAACTCGGGTGCGAGGCTCGGCATGCTTTTGCGATGTGTCCTCGCCTCAGGCAGCGGCTGCACGTGGTGTCTAGGAACCGACAGTTTGCTCGTGTGTGGTTCCCCAGACACCCTGGACACTCGAGGTCGTCCCGCTTGTCTCGCCATGCTCGCTGCTTCCGGCTGGTAGCGGTGCGGTGGACGGTCTCTTCCTCGCCGGCCTCGTCCAATTCGGTGGCCTCCGGATCGGGGGTTGGCTCGCGATGGGTGCGATGGATATCACCCCGTCTCATCTCGGTGGCCGTGGATTCGGACACTTCTGCGGCGAGGGCCTCGTCTAGTGCTTCGCTGAGGGTGAGACTTCGCCGCACGATGAGTCGCTTCTTCACCTGCTCGTCCCTCATACCCATGACGAGTCGGTCCCGCAGCATATTTTCCAGGGCGACGAACTCGCATCGGGCTGCGATCGATCGGAGCTCTCCGAGGTACTTCCTGATGGGTTCGCCCGCCCGTTGTCGTCGGTTGTAGAAGTGGTTCCATGCGACTAGGAACCCTTCGGAGATCCCGTACTGACCAGCCAGCAGACGTTGGATATCTGCCCAAGGGGTGTCCTCGATGCTGGCTGGAGCGACCAAGGAGCGGGCCACGTGGTAGACCTCGTCTCCGCAGTTTGCGAGGAATAAAGCCTTCTTCTGATCCCCGGGAATGCCTTTTTGCCCATTCCCGGCCAGNCCTGTTGCTAGTTAGCCAACCAGCAACGGGCATGAAACTGTATGCAGATGGAGAAAGGCAATCACCCTTAATGGGCGATCAATGGTGAAGGGCAATCACCCTTAATGGGCGATGAATGGTGAAGGGCAATCACCCTTAATGGGTGATCAGGATATGCATAGGGGATTAAGGGGGGGGAATACAGAGAACACAACAGAAGGAAATGCTCTTTCCTATTAAAAATGTGTTTACATGAGGACAGATGTAAAACCCAAGTTATCGAGTGAAATCTAATCTCTATGTGACCGTAGAGATTTACTGTTAACATGATAAATTTCTACCTGGATTTAGTTTGTTTCATTCATTCATTCATTCATTCATTCATTCATTCATTCATTCATTCATTCATTCATTCATTTGTTCCAGGATAGCTGTATTGGTCCACTACAACAAAACAGTTGAGCTTTGTAGCACTTTTAAAGCTAACAAATTTATAATAGCACAAGAGAGGGATGAGAAAGGTAACGACCACACATGAGCCCAACAGCCATTGTGAAATCACACAGAGCCCCCAGTTGTTGCCAGGAACCCAATGCAATTTTTCTCATTGTATTCATGAAATAAGAGGCCTAGCTTTTTGCTTCTTAAACATCCCCCAAATTCCTGAAATGGAGCAATGTTCTTGCTTTTCACATTGGCAATATAGCTGCAGGGCCTGAAGATGAAAAGGGATGAAATTGCAGTCTGCAGCTGTAATGGGCTGTGAAAGTAACCTTTGGAGACAGGAGGAAGAGCTGCAGGCTAAACAAGGAGCTCACAAGAGAAATCTGAGTCCAAAGAAGCAATGAGGGTGGGGAAGCATCTTGGAAGGACCCTCCCTAGTTTCCTGGAAGCTAAAGGAGGGGGAGGAGGCAGTGCTTCCAGACTTACAAGGTTTGTTTCTGTAACCTTATCATAAAGGTAGTCTAAGTATTCATGGTTCTGGTTACCTGACTGGGCTAACTTGCAGGGCTGACAACAGGAGGCAAAAAACATTCACTCCTAGCATAAGGTTCAGAATCGCAGGATATGCCATCCAATTGAGATTTATGATCACTTGCGCAACTAGTTCAGTTTAAATGAAATTACACCCCATTTCACCACATGCATTAAAGATAAGGGTCTGCTGTTCAGGTGCCCCATCACGTATTGCCAATTATGTTTAAACTACACAGGTTGAGGCTGCCATGACCTGCAAGAATTTAACAAGCTGGCTTTCTCCAGGAAACCTGAGGGAGCATCATGCGGAAATATATATACCTCGCTTCAAGTTAGAAGCCGGCTATGATCTCAACCTGATGTTGCAAGGATTGGGCCTCATCGATGTATTCAGTGAAGCAAAAGCAGACCTCTTGGGAATGTCACCTTCCCGCCAACTCTTCTTGTCCACAGTTGTTCACAAAGCTTATGTGGATGTCAATGAAGTAGGGACGGAAGCAGCAGCTGCAACAGGTGTTGCAGTCTCCAACAGGAGCTTAGAACACTATGAATTATTTGTGGCTGACCATCCCTTCCTCTTCTGCATTCTGCATAATCCGACAGGCACGATTCTTTTCCTTGGGAAACTCTGCAGTCCTTGAAATTCAAACAAGTATCTTTTTTTTTTCTTGAAGCTTATTAAAGTGTACTCCAAGCCACACATTTCTCTGGAATAACTTGATTATAAAATGGCAGTTATAACGCACCTTGAATATATTACTTAATTTGATCACACACAGACACAGACACTATTTTGCATTTCATGTTTAATTCACTAATATGTGCAGCATTATCTTTTTGAAAGAACAAATAAAAAGAATTATACCCCTGTTTCCCTGAAAATAATACTGGGTCTTTTTTTTTTTTGCCTCCAAAAGAGGCACCGGGTCTTATTTTCAGGGGGTGCTTTTACTCACCTCCTGCACCGACAGCCCGGCCCAGCCAGTCCACTTCTTCTGCAGCCGAAGGAGCAGCTTCATTCTGCAGCTGAATTCTGGCCTGCATTTCACAGTCAGGCCTTTCCGGAAGGCCTCTGCAGCCAAGTACCGAGCTACGGATTCAATCCATAGCTCGGTTCTTGGCATCTGTGGCCTTTCCAGAAATGCAGGCCTGCCTGAGAAATGCAGGCCTGGCTGCAGAAGACGGCTCAGATGAAGTGGGCCAGCGAGGAGAGGCCTGACTGCAAGGTAAGTGGGTGCGGGGCACATGGGGAAGATCCACACCCCCACCCTAGCTTGATTTTTAAGTGTGTGCCTCACCCCAAAGCTAGGGCTTATTTTTGGGGTAGGGCTTATATTAGGCCCACCCCCCAAAATAAGCTAGGGCAGTGGTGGCGAACCTATGGCACACGTGCCAGAGGCAGCACTCAGAGCCCTCTCTGTGGACACGCTCACCATGCCCCGGAGATGGCAACCGTCCCTCTTCAACCAGCTGCCCACTAACTCGCCGAGGTCCCAAATGGCTGGATGCATCCCAGCACCCGTGCGCTCGCTGGCCTCTGTGTGCAGGGGCCGATGGTGTCAGGCAGCGGCCGCCCCGGTCCCTGCCTCACCTTGCCCTGTGACAATGGCACCCCCCCCACCTTGCCTCACCTCACCCCACAGGACGAGCCTCCTGCCCACCGCCCTACCTGCCAGAGACCCCCTGGATCTCCCCCAACCCTGCCTGGCCCCCACAGGCGTCTCTCCCCATGAGCAACATTGAGGTGATCACACCCACCTTGGCCACACCCACCCAATCTGCCATGACCACCACAGCCACGCCCATCCAGTGGGCCACGCCCATCCAGTGGGCCACGCCCATCCAGTGGACCACGCCCACTTGGCACCCGGCGATAAATAAGTGGGTTTTGGGTTGCAGTTTGGGCACTCGGTCTCTAAAAGGTTCGCCATCACTGAGCTAGGGCTTATTTTCGGGGTAGACCTTCCTTTCAGGGAAACAGGGTGTACAGGGAACAAGGTATGCAGGGGAAAAGACTTGTGAATCATCTTAGCAGCACCTAGAACAGTCTTCTCCAATCCAAAAAGCTCAAGATACGATGGACTCCCTCTCTCCCCAAATGTTGAGAAATGTTGCCTGAGAAGTATACAGGTCAATGTATTCAGAGGTCACTTGGTGGCAATCTAGAACAAGTGACATTGTGGCTGAGGAATTCTGGGCATTGTAGTCTCCACATCTTAAAGTTGACAAAGCTCAGAAACACTGGTCTAGAAGAATTTTATTTTCTCTGAGCAAGAAGTCACTTTTCATGCCGAGCCTCAGCAAATAACATACAGAATGCAGAACAGAAATATATATTTTTTTCTTGCAACTTTCTGGTACTGAAGTGTAATAAAAATTTCTTAAAATCACAGAGGTAAATTTCAAGGTTTATACACCTTAAATACATCAAGTTCTCCCAAAGGAACAAACAAAACAAATACGTGTAATAAACCTAGACGGAGTGCAAGCTCCACGAAGGGAAGTCTTTAACAGATGGAATAAAGCATATGCATTATTTCAGTAAACGCGGTACCGAAAATTGAAATCTGCAAAATTGCTCACTGTGCTGAGATGGCATTTTTTTAAAAAGTGTGTTGAAACTGGACAAATTAACCCATCTATGGCCAAAAAAGCTTGCAGATGTTTTCTGTTGCAAAGATTAGGAAATGATTTTATCTTTTTTTATTGGTCATTTGAACCCCTGCCAAGTTCTTCATTTCTCAGTTTGGATTTTCCTTCTTGAAAGCTCACAGTTACTCTGAATCAATTGCAATTACAGAGCAATTAACATGCTAAAGGATATTTGTATTATTTTATCACGTTTACATTCTGTCAACTATAGCGCTACACTGGAGGTCCCCAACCTTTTGGGCACCAAGGTCCAGTTCTGTGGAGAGAGGTGTGCTACCTGCATCTCATTGATGGGGTTTTTCTTGTTTGTGCAGCCCAGTTGCTAACATGCCGCGGCCCAGTACTAGTCCACGGACCGGGGGTTGGGGACCCTGCACTACACCCTTCCTTCACCATTGTTCCCTTTATTACTTTTGCTGAAAATTAACTTCTCATCTTCCAAATGTAATCTCACATCCAACAAAGGAACAACTCAGAATGAGAACATGGTGATTCCTGCTAGAATAAGGTATGGAATAGTCAGATGAGACTAAAAGCGTTTGGTTTATCCAAAAATAAGGCAGTGTATAGTATTTGCCTGACTTGTCTTAGCAAACAACATTGCACAACAAGAACGGTATTTCTTCACAAAATACTCCCATCAAGAAAATACCAGAGAATAAATGTTATACAACTCAGCAGGGCTGATTTCTGAGTAAGTTTAAGATGCAACTGGATGGTAATTTAAAGAGGTACAGTAACTGGAATGTTCATGCTTCTACCTGCATCTAAATTGAGACAGTAATATTTATCTTGAATTGTGTAATCTTTTCCTCAGCAACTCTTTGCTTAGATTGTTATAATTTTGCTGGTGGTAGCTGAACGGAAGGAAAAAATATCTTTTCTGCTCTTTCACCAGCACCACCGCCCCACTTCCAAGCTTTCTCAAGGTGGGAAGAAGGGAGGAGTAAGAGGAGAGAAGAGAAAATGAGGGACTTTTGTTACTACTGCTGAGTTCACAATAACAGTAAGAGATCATGGAGTTCATGAGAACGGAGAGGAATTACATAGATTTGAACGTTTTTCTGCAGAAGTTATCAGAAGTGTAATAATGCATGAATTGGACTTGGAGTGAACAAAACTAGTATCTGGTTTCTTTGAAGAACAATTGTTTTCTGAACTCTTATGAATTTGAAATTTCTTCAACAATTAAAAAAACAACAGGGTGGCAAGCAATTATATGCACATCTGCAAAGTTATGGTCTTGCCTTGAACCCATTTGAAACCTTGGCTGCAATATTTCTTTGCCAAGATTATGTCACAATAAAGATGGAATTGCAGCATCAATTTTATGTGTCCAAAAACACTTTCAGAATATGTTGCTCTTAATGGACTGACACACTGTCCATGATTCCTTCACATTTCAATTTTCTTGCTCACTAAAATATATGACTTACTTGATTGATCTCCCAGATACTATTTGCTCTTACAGTTGGAACTATTTACAACTCTATTTTCACATAATGGATTTGGGGTGTTTTCTGGCATCCATTTTCAAATGACAAATGTGCTCTTGTCAGCCTGATAATGTAGATCATATCAGGAAATAAACTCAATGGATTAAAGGCAAAACTACCTTTACTTAGATTGGCCATAATAACAGACAAGTCTGATTATGCTGTTCTTCCTCCCCCCACACACTTATACTCCAGTGAATTAGGGAGGCATCTGCTTAAATCACTTCCAGATCTTATCTGGTTTTTAGGGCTTAAAAATATTGGAACCCCCTTTGTATTTCTGTGAAGCTCATCTTCCTCATGCTTCACAAACGTCATCAACCTGTATCTTATTAATTTAAACCAGTAGGACATGGTAGTGAATTAAAACAACAACAACCCAACACAATTCAACCCAACACACCATGTCCCTGAGCCAATGCATTTTTTCCCCAGCAACAATTCAGAATTAATTTGCTCTTACTTTCTTTCAGGATGCTTTTTCAGTTTTCTTGCCAAGCCAACAAATAATAACCTGGATAGGCTGATGAAACTATCATAGCAAATGTAGCATAACTTACCTGAAAATCCATATCTTAATTTATTTTCTACTGGAAATAGCAGCACAGCTCACATTTATTTATCAACTCAGTGTTCCAAAGGCCTAGCCTAATATGAAAAGTTATAGTGATCTCATTCTCTTAGACCAGGAGTGTCAAACTGCTGGCCCGTGGGCCGGATGCATCACGCTCAGGGCCATGCCCACCCCAGCTCCGCAAAGGCAAAAAAATGTGGTGATACGTCACGATACATCACGTGACGCGGCAAGTTTGACACCCCTGCCTTAGACCTTTTGTGAATAGGCTACTGAAGGGATAAAAATTTAATTTTTCAAAATGTAGTCTTTTATGTATAATCCATCTTTCACGTATAACATAGTCCAGACATTGTTGGTTTACTTTTGGTTTCTGTACGTGCTCCAATGTAATCTAAATTGTGCTGACCAAAGAAAATGAAAAAGCTTTCTGCTACTTTACCGGTAAAAATGTTACTGCTATAGCTTGCAACATATAGTAGCGTTCTTTCCCCCACCTTTTTCTCAGCTGGCAAATGTAATGTCGTGGTTTTAAAATGTATCCCTTTTGCAAATGAAAGTTTCTAGGCTAGTTGCCAGCTATTGAGCTATTGTGTATTCAGAGCTTAGAGATGCAGGATTGCAACAAGCTTGATAGATAAGGAAATTCAAACGAAAGAAGAAATCTTTAGATGTGCAGAAACCTTGCAATGTTAAAAAAATGTATTTGTTATAAAAGGAAGAACCTTTTGATTAGGGCAGTGATGACGAACCTTTTAGAGACTGAGTGCCCAAACTGCAACCCAAAACCCACTTATGCATCATCGAGTGCCAGGTGGATGTGGCCCATTGGCTGGGTGTGGCTGCGGTGGTACTAAAAAGTTCAATCAATCAATTCCAACTTTGCAAGATCTTTTTTTTCCGTGAGAAGTTGAAATTGACTGATTGAACCTTTTTTTTTTTTTTTTTTTGCACACGGTGGTGGAGGCCTAAAGTGAAAAGGTTTTATAAAACCCAGCTGAAGGCCTAGGACTGGGGCGACGGCACGCAT